AAAACGAATAAGTAATTAGCACAACGTGTCATCAAAATGAATCATGGAAAACAAAATTATTATTGTTTTTTTAAGAGAAGAGGGCATATATTACACTTGAGTAATAATTTTTTAAAAAATACCCCAGCTAAACTTTATAACCAACACGTTATTAAAATCGCCTTGGTAATAAATAATAATATCAAAACATTATATTTGTTGTGTCAAATAAAAGACATTACAATATTGTTTTCCAAGAGCTATAAAACAGCGAAATATATATTAATATAATAGCAATGATACAACGTCATTATGCAGAATATTCTCTCCGGAAAAAACATTTTCAACAACCGCTTGTTCAGTGAAATGTTTCTCTGGCCGAAAAAAAACCGTCCAGTCGATCACAACTGTATAAATACTGAGTCATTTTAAACGCATACTTTATACAATCGCCGGATACTTAATAGTATGGCCTAATTAATAGTGGAAACAATAATAATTCTTATGCTCGAGTATTTGCATGAAAACGTTTCCAGTTCGGTTTGGAATACATTGTCAATCCAAACCTAACCCAACAGTTTTACCCAAACAATCAGGTTAAAAATATAACAATTAATAATTAATCTTGATAGCAATCTTTGATTGATCGTTTGATTAATCTTTGAGTAGGTCCGTCGGCCATGGTCTTTTTTTTATGTTGTTCGCCCGCAGTTACACGATTTTGAAGGATCGATTGTGGCAACATGTTGCGCATTGTTTGGCTCGTATGGGTAACAATCTCGGTTCGGTCGACTGCACTTGGTATTTTTGTTTGGATGGATTTGTAATCCGTTATAGTTTAACTTTAAACTTAAACATGTTGAACATCTTGAAAAATGAATAGGTTTTATAATATAGAGCGTATCTTTGAAGATACACTCGTTGAAGACAACTATAGAAAATAATAATAAGATATTAATACTACATTTATAATAATAATTGTAAGCCCTAAAAAATATCGTTTGAAATAAAATATTTATTATTACGTCAGACGTCTTAATGCCTTGTGCTAAAATGAAAAACAACAATTAATCGCAATATCGTTTATGAATATTCAGTCACAACTTATAACATGAATGAATAAAACAATTTAACAAATAATATAGAAAAACAAAAGCAGGTTAATTGTAAGAAAAACAAAAGTTTTAACAATAGTCGGATTCCAACAGCTTCTTTCAATATATTATTTTAGTTTTATCATAAAAAAATGAAATAAAATGGTGCGGATATCTGTAAATTGTAAACAATAAGCAATAACCATAATAATATCGCCGAAGAACATAAGTTATAAAGATATAAATCTTTTGTGTTATTACTGGAATAATTATTTCAATATTGTGTACCTTTAAAGATAAGTTAAGGTTCAACTTACTGTGGTGGTTTTTACACTCATAAATCGCACAGGTTCGGTACGCTTTGTACTTTGACTAAATTATACGCCGAAGGATTCAAACGAGCGCAAAGAAAAAGTAATTCATAGTACCGAATTGTTTCAAAAGTATATAGCTGAATAATAATAATACACTCATACCGCCCTAAAAACAACAAAGATTAATTTACAATTCCCTGGCAAACACCGTTTATAATTCAACAATAAATTATCTACTATATAGTATGATGTATTGTTAGAAGCGCTTTGGAACACAAACTTGTGAATAATGATTCCCTGCAAAAGTAAGCAGGTAAAAAATTTCAAAGTCTTTGAATTATTACTCGAAAGATGGCACGTATATTGCGGATATAAGAATATAAGTCAAACGTTCTAAACGAAAGAATAATACATATAATGGTTTTACGGAAAAAAAAAGATATATGTAAACCTTTTTAAATAATGTACATAATATGTAGTAAAGTATTTTAAATCAAGTCTGTATAAAATATGGTATATTTTTTTTTTCAACAAACTTTATAAAAGTTTTTACTTAATAAAATATGTTGATTTTATTTTTTTTAACTCAGTAAAGTTAAAATATTCACTTTACCATACATAATAATAAATACTAAACCACGGATTACTTGTTACAGTAGTCTTTTATCTAAACGATCAACTGTTCAAATTATTTGTAAAAATATATTATCACCATTCGTTACGTTATAGGCCAATATTTCCTATATCTAAACTTAGGTTTGAACGACTGTGTTTTGTTTCTGGTATTTTTCAAATATTATTTATATTAAGTACAAAAGAATTAATTTTGAAATTTGTACCTATCTAATGACAATCCAAGTTATGGGCAGACGTTTTTTTTTTAATTTTTGACCATTTAAAATTGAAATGAGTACCAAAAATCCTTATACTGCCTGCCTTATTATTATCCATACTTCGGAATTTGTATTATTGTAGTAATTTTTTTTTCTCTAATGATAATCGCGTCGGTTAGGATGACTTTGCACGGTAATCAACGCATCGTATGTATCAGTTAAATAACTTTACAATAAACGTGGGCTTGGGCATGTAGCAAGTAAACTGTTGGTAAATTGATGGTTAACAGCTAAAAAACATTTACAATTATAGCATTAAAACCACCGTTCGATGTAGTATTTTTTTGATATATATATATATATATATATGTTTTTTAAGGATCTTCTATGATAATCGCCATGGCGGAAACACTGTCCACGTGTTTTGTATGTTTAAAACGGCAAGTGTTTAAAAAAACTTTACACTCGGGTCTTGTATAACGTTAATCAATAGTAACAATGTAGTGTTTAAATAAACAGGCGTTATGACGTAGGTAGTACAGTTTAATTTGTCAGACGTCGACGGGTGTCAATACACACAAAAAGTTTTACACTGGAAAATAATGTAAACTGCCACGAACACACTCCTTGGCTTAATGAACGTGTAGAGGTATTATTTCATCCGAAAGAGTACCGGGTTTTATTATACACATATATTTGTATTTATTATTATATGTATTTAATTTAATACGGCTCGACGATTCGCGGTTTTTACTTTGTATAATTGATACTACTTTTACAAAATGTATACAAGTCATGTAAAAAACACCGTGTATCGTTTTAAATAATATATGTGCCAAGTAGAAACAATAAAACATATATATTAAACGTCATGTGAACACTAAACCACTGCGGCCTTTGTCTAACAATTTAAGCACTTTTCCAAAAAAACACAATCAATTCATACGCCCTTTTAAAAATTCAAAGTACAATTTTTTAAAATTATTAACCCATTAACAAAACATACCCTCAACGGTAATAATATAAGTATTAAACATTGTATGACCCTGTATTTTGGCCCATTATTCGGTATACTTATAAATAATAATTCGCTTATTTTTATTATTATATGATATGTAAATTGCACAATACACACGTTTATATAAATGGCGAGGAGCCAATATGAGTAGGGAGAAGCGCTTATGGCAATGATGCGGAATCAAACACCTGTTGCACAAATTACAACGTCAAAGTCGGTTTTTTTCTTGAAGGAAATAAAAACGTTGAATATCATATTATGTGCAAAGACGCCGACGTTTCGACCAAAGTATGATTATTTTACACCAAGCCGTTGAAAAATATTTCATTTAAAATATTAGATCACAATCTCGTTCCGAAAATAATTTGTTTCATTCCGTTCGAGTTGTTGCAATTTATTGTAAACCGGTAGGTCGATTCATTAAAGTATAAATTACGATAAAAATTCTATCGCCATTATTTCGAAGAAAAAAACATCCTTTCTCAGTAAAAAAAAAAGCCATACTTTGTTCAGGCTTGTGGTGTATATTGTATACTTAAAATGCGGTTTATATTTTAAATTTCAATTAAAACGATACGCGGTGGTCGAACAGTTTGATATAAAAAAATAAAAATAAAAAATGATTCTCTCTTTTCGCGCTTATTTTTATATTTAAAGTGTTTTATATATCCAGCCAATTTAGTTGCCGATGCCAAGTCATGTTCGAGCAACAACAAAAAAAAGTTACATAATATTATAACGTTTTTAAAATAGACAAGAAACCGTGTGCTACGTTTTTCACAGCTTACACGATTCTGACGGGTTTTATAATTATTGTTATTATACAAAGTTCTAGAATAGATGATGTTGTTTTTGGAATTTTAAAATAAATTACACTCAGTGTTCACGAATTCCTATTAGTCGTGATTCACGAGCCGAAGCCGACACATATCTGCTATATAGCGGTTTTAGTGTCTTAGGGAAAAGAAAATCCGACGGAAATCCGCCTTCGACAATTTTGAGTCACCGTCAAAAATCCGCATCGTTTTCGTTTTACGGTATTGTCTTTCAGTATTTATTTTTAACAAATAATAAACGGTAGATCATTTTTTGTGTGTTTTTCACTAGAATAAAGGAAAAAACCCCCCAAAAAAAAGGAGATATATCATGGCACTTTGACAGTTTAAAATTTTTAAGTTGCTTTGTGTGAGTGAATATTGGTATTTGAAAAGATTTTTGTTACGGTTTTGCCTGCTGGTCGTAACAAAGACAACTAACCTAACAAAAAATAAAGTGAAAAACAATTTTAAACACATTTTTGTCTTCACAATGATTTTTATCGATATTTAATACACATACCGTGTATACTCTATAATTTTTAAGTATAGCCCTACCTCGTTGTACCGGGGTTTTATTATTTTTTAGCTGGTTTGACAGCTCTTCTTAATAGAAATTTTAAAAAATTTCCCACTTACTATTGATGTATTTCTAACTGATGGTTTAATATTGTATTGCTTACAGAAAACTAATGACGAATGCTGATCCGGTGGCCGATAGCGAATAGTGGAGAACAATCATGGCCCTGCTCGGGGCATTGGCGGCCGCGAGCGCCGGTGGGCGTCGGGGCTGCGTGCTGCGGGTGGCGGCCGACGCGATAACTTTTTATTGCAGCGGCGGCGGCACCGACGGCGGCCCCGGCAACGGGACGGACGTCGGGTTGTCGGACGACGGCGGCGGCAGTTCCGGCGGCTCGGACTACTACCTGAGAGCCGCGGGTGGCGTGGTCGGCCTGGCCACCGGTGATGACCCTGCAGTGGCTGCGGTGGCCGACCCCGGCGGCGGCCGTCGCGTCGGCGACTACTTCCGGCACGTCCGGTCCGTGTCCGCCGGGTACGACGTCAACGCCACAGCCACCGCGTTTATCAACACCAGCGTCGAGCCGTTCCTCAATTCGTCCCGTAACCAAACGCTCGATGGCAACGTCGAGGATTTTACCAACTCGCTAATCGTCGTCACCACCGGAATCATTTTGGGAGCAATGATTCTGACCACCATTTGCGGTAAGCGCATCATTTGGTATTATTTAATTTGCATGCACTAACGGAAAGCGCCGGATTAATGGGCAAGCAACACAAGCACTTGCCATAATATTTACGAGCGCTGAGAATTTGTTGGTTGAGGTTTTTTTACAATTTTAAAATATGGAAAGTACATTTTGTTTTCGGATTAACGGAATATCTAAGCCTAAGTTAAACTAGTGAAATTAGAGGTCCTTGTTCTTAAAAACACGTGACTCCATAAAATTGCATTCAAGTGTATTCGGTTGGAGTATTTACTATTTAAGCACATATTTTGTAAACACACGACCTTTTGCAAAATCAAACGGCTTAGACCCTAGATTTTTCCTCAAGACCCTACAGTAATCACATTATAAATATAAATTTAACGGGATACCCGAAGTTTTCATCGAACCAGTTCATACAGGTTTCCGCCGAGTCACTCAATTAAACTAGGATTTTTTCAAACTAATTTAGGTTTTTTTTATATCACTCTGTTAATAAACCATTAAACGTAGGTATAGTACACCCAAGTAGAGATTAAGTGCCATACTTTATTACGGCTAAATAAACGAAAGATTCCCGCATCGAGCCGGTTATCGCCGAATACGAATAAAATAACATAATATTATTTTGTCTCAGAAGCTGTTTTTTTTAGATTATTATCACTAAAATAAAAAAAGTACGTATCCGGCATAATGGGTCGTATATAGGATCATATTGGGTCGTTAGTGTAGCTTTTACGGCGCACATTTGGCACAGTAATAGCGTTAAAAAGATTTCTAAAAATGCTCCATTCGTTTTTTTTTATTTTACAGCAGTCGAGCCGAACCTAACCGTCTTGTATACAAACCGGAACTGTTTTTATGTCGTGATAATATGGGCTTTATATAACACCCTGTGAGATACATTTTCAGGAGAAAAAACAAGCGCCAAAGTGCATTCAAAGTGCCCCGGTATATATAGGCATTTAAATATATTCATCGGCAAAAATATCCTAGGCGTGAGCCGGCATGTTTTGTAAAACAGTATTTTACTTTTGGTTTATTATTAAAATAATATTATCAATGCAGTTTTTTGGTAACAGTTAGTTGAATTCTTCATAATTATGTTAAACAAAAATGAAGGTCTTGGGATGAACATTGAGAAAATTATTGAAGAGTTTTGCATATAATGCAATACAGGCCCTATTGTTATTGAAAGGAAAAAAAAATAAACGAGATTGACCCATTTAGATACTGTTTATTCAAACGGTAATAACAAAAACATGATTATCTTGAAAAATATTTGACTCTCATCGCATTCAGACTGTATAATATTTCGGTTTTGTCGAAGGTGTTTTAACACTTATTCGGTTAATTTATAGTGTACACATTGTAGACGTTTCGGCGGAGGCTGCAGTTGATATAGAGTTTTATTTACCTTTAAAACGATAAAAATTCCCGGTAACAGGTAATAATCACCCCGGGACTTTATTGATTAACTTAATTTCGTTCAATCGCGTACACAACTTAATTGCCTGCCAATTCAATTACTTACATAAACTTTTATATCACGTTATATTATGGTGTATAAATAAATATATATATATAAATGGGTACCACATCTACCTGCCTTTACGTACACATATTGGTATACTGTTTTCGTTAAGGTTGTACTTGCAAAAAATAATGTTGGTCACGTTCGATTCGACGAACAAGACAAAATAAAATTGTGTATACATGTTGTACAGTGATGATTATACATACATATATATTACATTAAAATCAAACCCGAATAGTATATAAATACAATTATTGTTTACAATAATGGTGGTTTTTTTAACAAATAAAAATAATGTTAATTGCGCAAAATAAATTTGTTTTAAATTAAATGGTATTACAATCGGATATATTGATCAATTTTTTTGTAAATTGTTGATAGTTTTAAAGTTCAGTTTCTGTATAGTATACAAGGCGATTCACTCACTATTAACCAGTCGGTGTATTCCGATTATTATATTAATGTTCAATCATATTATATTAAAAATAAAACTATGAAATAGTTTTGAGTATACTTGTGGTGTATCTATGAATTACACATTTTTTTTTTTTATCCTCTTGCCTTTAACTCATATCTAGGTACTCTATTAAGACAAAAAACGGGCATAACGAGTATTAAAGATAAAATATTTTATTTAGAACTAACAACCATAAACATCAAATAGATATTACCGTTTGAAAATCAACGGTAAGCCTGCTCGGCAGAATGGGTTGATCACTCATAGGTTTCTACCTAGTCTTTGGGGGGGAGGGATTGCGGCATATATGGTATCGCTAGCACTGATATATTAACCGGTCTAACGTTTAAAATTTGTGTCGTTCATTTTTATGTTAATTGTTTACCTCTAATTTAATATGTTTAACTGAATTCGAATACAGATTATTGTATTAAGACAACAGCGAAAGTAATAAACTTACTATTGTACCAATTTTTCACCAACGAATATAAGGTTTTATTTTGAGGGTTATTTTTTGTTTATTTTCTGTACATGCATTGTAGCTTTAACGAAATTGCGGTACCCGAAACGATTACAGAGCCAAACGCACACATTATGTAAAATAAATATTATTTAGGGGCACTTGGAAGACAAAAAATGGCGTCGTTCTACGACTCGGCAGAGTTAGTTATTGCAAAAAAAAAAAATAAAAACCACCGCCCCCGAGTAATGATGATGATGAATAAAAGTAATATACTTGTAAACAAAATTTACTTAGAGACTAGAGTACACCTACTCTAAATAAAATATGTACTGGGACAAAGTCTGTGTAACAGAAAAAGTACACTTCGACGTTATAACTTTCGCCGTGAAGTTAAGAGACCGATAAGTTTGAAGTTAATATGAAAAACAATTTTTTCGGTAAAATATTTTATATATCAGTCATATAAGCCGTTTATGGTTTTGACGTCTTGTGTATTATTTATATGTAAATATATTCATGCGCTGTGCCGGCCACGTGTACTTAAATAATGAACACGCTCCAAAGTGGGAAAGTGCAAAGAAATTGAATACCCTTAGTGCGTTTGCCGTTCCATTTGCGCGCATTAACCGTACTTAAGCCGTACAAATGCGATCGTTATCAAATTTGAAAAGTTTGGACGGGCGGCGCCGACCAGCTATATATCTACTCGAAGTTGCACCAATGTTGAACTTGAGATAAGAAAATATTATAATATTAGCGAGTCGAGAATTAATTCGGCGTTCGAATAAAATAATATATACTATCCACGCCGCAGAGTGTGTATAATACTATTATGTTTCCCCGGAGACGGTTTTAATATAATAACATAACGTTAAGCAACTTACTTGATTTACTTGCCAATTTATTCGATTTACCCGTAAATAAAATATTTTCGTCTTCGTGGAAAAATCAACGTGCCGCAATAATTCATTTGAACAATAAACACGATTGTCTTGGTTTGGTTATATTTTTATTTCTTTATCGAATATTTTGTATATTCAATTTTCATCGTGGCAACTTTCTGACGGGTATTATTTAAACGGTCCGACCTGCACTCGATGAAAAATAACAATCAAATTGAATAAATATTATTAATCAACCCTTATAAAACCAATTTATTCATATGAAAAAAAAAATACTGTCAATACAACAAAAGAAATTATTACTTTGATATTAAATTAGTAAGCGAGCAATTATAATTTTTAAAAAGGTTTTATTTTTGATAAATTTATTATTGATACAAAATGTATTTTTCGATTTCTGAGATTAAATCTTTATTATAACAGCAATGTTTTTTTTATCAAACAATTGTTAATTCCGTAATTTAAAATGTTGCATTATTATGATGATAAAACATTTATGGGGCCAATGGCAATAAACTATAAAGTATATTTTATCAATTTAATCTAATTTACATTTTTATTGAATATAATATTATTTTTCGTTGTGTGGGTAGCTCTATGACAATATCATGTTTGTCTTGTCTTCTTACTTGTTACATTATTATTATATTATTTATATTGATAAAACAAGCGATAACTCCAAAATTTGTTGTTACTATCTTATACATAATTGGGTTTGAATTATTTTTTGAATTTCCTAAACATTGTTTCTATTATAGCGGTTTTAAAGTCGTTTAACAAATAATACTCGGCTCTGCGTCTAAGACAGTATATTATCCAAAAGGTGTGGTTTTTTTTAACATTCTGATAAAAAATAATATACCAAAGTGTAAGTGTTCTAGGTATAAATAATTAAAAATACCGTGTGTAAAAAGTGTGCAAATTTTATTCAGCAGCGCAAAATTTAAGCTAAAAACCGTTAGGTAGTTTGTAACCATTATGTAGATTTTGAGTAGGGATATATATATATATTCATAAAGCTGGGTTTGAACGCATGAGATTGAAAAATTGCTATTGACCTATCGGTCTGGCTCGTCCATCAAACACAGCAGCTATATTACTATTTGTGGCTGTAACAAGGCGTTGGCTTGCTTTTAGTACTTCTATTGCTATACGATTTATTGTGGTTTATAATATTTTTTATGTGTGTATTAAAAAACGTTTGCAGGTAACGCGCTGGTCATAGCGGCCATCCTGTTGGAGAGGAATTTGCAAAACGTCGCCAACTATCTCATTGTCTCGCTGGCGGTGGCCGATTTAATGGTGGCCTGTTTGGTCATGCCACTCGGAGCCGTTTACGAGGTATTTATTCACACGATTACTACTGATTTAAGTCCGTCGTAAAAAGTATCAGTAAAATATTTTATATTTATATATGTATAAAATCAAATAGATTAATACTGTTACATTATTATGTTGTTAACCGTTTTATTGTTACGACCGCACACCACAACCGATCTCGGTCCGTTACATACATTATATAATATAATCAAAATCATGTATATGCATGATGATGAGATTTGTTGGTATGTGGGAATTTAGGGGTGGACACAGGGGGCAGAGTTCCCATCCTCCTCCGCTCCGAGCCATTAAATTTAATCCGTCTTAAGTCGGCCCAAGTTTATCAAGTTTATCAAAATTGACATTTTGATTTTTCGAAAACGCCTTTTCCCTAAACGTTGCGTCGAATAGTTTAGACCTATGAAAATGTTTTAAATTATTTTTGCATTTTCCTTTAGATTTTTTCCCCAATTTTATAATGTTGTATTTTTAACTTTTATCTTATTTGTGTTTCTCGAGAAATTGAAGTAAATACTGTAATTATTTGCTAGTACTATTCAAGCGTGATTTCTCTGCCTCCCGCACATATTTAAACGCTAATCACTCCAAATGTGATTACTCGAAACTGGTAGGCACTACCCGGAAATCGATTTTAACAGTAAACATTATTGTGTTAGTCTTCGTTTCAAATTTAAAAATTGACATTTTGATTTTTCGAAAACGCCTTTTCCCTAAACGTTGCATCGAATAGTTTATACTTAACCATATAATAAAGTAAAAAGTATTTAAAAAAGAAATAACCAAAAAAGGTGTAAGTATAAAATCTTAACTACGAAGCGCGTGTGCAGTAAGTTAGAGTACTGATATCAAACTGACAAAGTATCGGCGATGATTATTAACTGACGTTCACCTAATAACAAAACCTCTTAGTCCACCTCTTCGTCGGTTGTTTAGTATTGTAATTTCCTTAGTATTCTGTAGGTATCATTGCTGTAACACCCCAACAATGCAAAGTAATAATAACAGTATCTACACGGTATGACAGCAATAATAAACAACGGTATTGCGTTTATCTCGTTTTTGATTAAACTAATTGCGAATGAATAATAATAATTTATCGTGACTGGCTACTCGGTTAATGTTCTAAAAGTTTCTAAAACTGATTTACGCATCCCGATAACGTTGTGCCCGTAATAAATACAGAATAGTTTGCTTTATAAAGTATTATCCAGTTTCCATTGCGGTGTATCGTTCAGCATCGTTTCGGGTATAGGTACTTGGAAAAAATATTATAATAATATACATATGTATCTAATGTAAGACACTCGTTTCTTGGAAAATATGAATAATTTGAAAGTTATTATTTTTCCTATATGCGTAGGTACATATTTGACTATATGTTTCAATACTTTGAACATTTTTATCTTCTTCCCTTACTCGCAAAACAAGTATGGACCTCGTATTTTCAAATGGAAACATATGATATAAATTCCATAAACATGTAGACAAACAACTTTTAAAAAATGTTAGCGATTTTGCTAAGATATTTCCCATTATAACTGTCATATATCTTTGGTTTTTCAAAATCCAGTAGCCCATAAAATTCCTACTTATGTAAGTTCGCACTGTCCGATAGGCGAGAACACCGATAACCAGACACAATAAAAATGTTTTAAGACAATGATAGACAAACGGTTCCTATTTAGCTATTTATATAAAACAAAATTCATAACTTTTGGCAGTTGTGCGATTTACACTGACCACGTGCGTTTGATAAATCGGTGACTAAAGTCGTTTTTTAAATGTCCGATTCAATTATAATTGCCATAAAACTGTTATTATTTTCAAGAAGACCGCGTTAAAAAAAAATACTGTACATTCGCACCATTTATAGAGCATATAAGTGTTTTCATACCGTAAAATATCCTTTTTTTTATTACTTTTTTTGTTCTGCACTGAAGAATTCAGATTATTCTAACCACAAAGATTGACTGCCGGGTTATTATACGGCCGGCGTTGACACCGGACCATTTATCAAACAGCCAAAAAAAACCAAAGTGTGGTAACCGCACCTGTCCGCTCGGTTAAAGCGGGCCTATAAGTACGGACACAAACCGAGTAGGTGTATCGCTTGTGTAACGTAAAACCACACACACGAGGTTGTTTTAAATGTGTAACATCGCTCATTTGTCGATAGACGACTTAACGCCCAAGTTAAAAATAATCCATCTAAACGTCCTATATACTTTCGGTACAATATTAATGGAACAACTTATCCGGTAGCCAGCATTAACAATCGCCTGGCTCGTAAACAGAAAGAAAAAAATCGTTGTTAGAATAATTGTTATTATTTTTTTATTTTTGAAAATCCCAACCCGGCAGTGACAAAGCTTTCAAAATGATTAGTACTAGAACTGACACAAAATAAACTACGGATCTGTAGGTGGTGAAAATTAAAAAAATACACAATACGGACGATATAATAAGTGTTTATGTTTAAAAAAAAGTAACTTTACATTAATGAATTTTTTGTTTACAAGTGTACACATTACAGTTACGCTTGGACTAGATTTCAGACCTGACCGAGTGTCATCCTCCTAGTTTTTAGATCCAAAACTTCAAGAAAAGTAATACAAAAAAATATCCTAAAAACACTACAACGATAATATAATTTTAACTATATTTTTATCTGTAGCGCCCCTAAGTTTGAGAATTGTTCAAAAGAATACCGTAAATAAATGTGGAATTGATTTGACAGTTTTTCGGAAATTAAAGCTTGCCAATTTGAAAGATTATGGATTATGAGTAATTGTTACAAACCGATGCGTTGGACACGGTAAAGCGACGACAGACAAATCTATTTTGACTATATTTTCACCGAATCAAGTCACAAATAGAAAACAAGTAAAAAATAAAGTTTTCTGACAAAAATCGATAGTTCAACGACAGTGATAATATAATATGTCATTTGTGTTGTTAACATCATTTTTTTCTCCCTTCGTACTTAACCAAAATCGATAAATGAGGTATCATTTTCAATATTAAGCTCTCCGCTACTGCTGAATCGCTAATTCACAATTGCCCATTGTAGTATTAGTTCGGAAAATGAAGTTGGAAATTGAAAAATTGGCATACGCACAGGTCGCGCCATCTACCGATCGCCGTGCACTACACACCAGCCAGCCTTTTGCCAGCATTTCCACAATTCTCTGGTTGGGAGTAGATATTCTTAAGGGGTTTGTGTGCAAAGTATTCGCGCGGGCCAAATGGTATGTATATGTATTTGTATGGAATATTATTCCAGACTTTTAGCCGCCAAATAGATGTTTTCGGCGGCCAATCAAAAACCAATACCCGTTCGATATGTTATTTCACTTGCCGGTAATAATAATTCCGGTTACGTCTGTGCCAGATAAAGAACTATATATATATATATATATATATGTGTGTACTCCCCGGGGGCATTACTCCGGGTCCTGCTCCCTCCTCACTACAACCGTCCGATTACAATGTGCCAAACGTCGTGTCAGATAAAACATAAGGCGTTTTATTTTATTTTTCGTAGGTTTATATATACGAAATATATATAAGGGGGAAAAACACACACGCACACATATATATTTATATATATATATATATATATAGTGATAACGACATTGATCGTAAGGCTTGTCACATCCGAGCAAAGATTATTATTATACCCGGAGCCTTGTGTATATTATGTATTCGAGTCAAGTGCGCCCGCAAAATATATCTCAAGTTCGGAAAGTTTCACCGGCACGGGACAATGGTCTTATGCGAAACGGACAAATAAAAGGACTCCGGGCAATACTCGAGTGTGTGATACATTTTTTCCGCAGAGATATGGTCGCCCAGAAATATATTATAAATGTAAATGTTATTGTTATTCTAAAACACTTTCCTTTTTATTTTTTTTCTTGTATTTATTTATATAATAATATTTTTACATAAATTATGTCAGCCGGGCCCGGGACTACGGCGTATGCCTTGAGACATTTATTTGAAGAGGGCAAAAGTTTCGCCGTGAAGTTTAAACGGGGCTTTTACTTTTCATCGTATCCTCTATGTGCTTTTTTTTCTTTCATTTTCAAAGTCAGATTGCGTGCGGGCACATGCGTCCATCGACAGCTGCTCGCCTGGATGAAAACTCGACGATATTTTTCGCTTAACGACACACTAAACCGATTGGATTCTATTGCACTAACGACGGGAAAATAATAATAGTTGCGATTGACAATAACACTATTATTGATTAGCTAGAACGAGCGAACCCGGCTATCTCCCAAGAGGATGTTTTTCTTCGTTTTATCAGTTAAAAATTCCTCCTCCCTTCCAAGCTTACCTTAAATTTCTATAAATACCTGTCATGTGTTTTCTTCTAGACCCTAAGCGCTTTGGCTGTATTGTTGAATAGCCATACAGTTGTTTATGTTCAGCAACATCATTCGTCTGCAGACTATGTGGGCTAGTATAATTATAAATATGGATATGTTTAGGTCTAGGTGTCTATCTAGAATCAGCGTCACTAATTTCCCGCTACTGTTTTTCCGACAATGATAATAAACAGCTGATTACCGATGCTGTTATGAGATAGCTGATAATGGCTCCTATTAAGAGAAAAGAGAAAAGGTAGGATATTGTTGAGATGGAAGGTATAGAGACCGTTGGGAGAGTAGGAGAGAAAAGGGAGGAAAATGATAATAAATATGATAGAAAAAACATATCCATGGGTTCATTTTTTTTTTTTTACCATAAAGAGGAGAAAATGTCATTTATTTCTATTTTATCCATATGTCTATTTGTTACTATACTATCCAGAGTGTCTGCAGATATCGACTAACTTAAATTTATCTGTAGCCAACGAATTATAACTATTGGTCGATCCGGTCGCGTTTATTTTATATATCTTACAGAATATATTTTATCTCGTTCGCTCTGGTCACAATATTTCAACGCATACCAGTTTGTGTACAAATATATCCGAGTGGAAACGTTTTGTA